ATAGATAGATAGATAGATAGATAGATAGATAGATAGATAGATAGATAGATAGATAGATAGATAGATAGACAATTAGATATAAAAATAATGTATGTATGCATGTATGGAGTAGAGAGAGAGAGAGAGAGAGAGAGAGAGAGAGAGAGAGAGAGAGAGAGAGAGAGAGACATTCATATAAATAGAATAATGGATGTATTTATGTATGGGATAGATATAGATAGATAGATAGATAGATAGATAGATAGATAGATAGATAGATAGATAGATATAAATATAGATATAGATATATAAAGGTATATATGTACGGATAAAAGGAGTATTATGGATGCTTAAATGTAGAAATGTTGCAAAGATGATACTTATGTTTTAAAAAATGGAAAAAAACTGTTCAATAAAAATATTTAATAGGAAAAAAAAGAGAAAAAAAAAGAAAGTTAACAACCGGTTCTCTTGAATAGGTGCAAACTGGCTGAATCCCACTAGTGGACTCAACTCGGTTTAGCATTTGAACCGAGTTAAAATTGATGAGGTGCTGCCAATGCAATTAAATAATTGAAATGTGGACTGTAGCAAGTTATAGTTAAAGCCTTCCCATTACCTATGTGGGCTAGGGGTCACAATCCAAACCTTAACGCCCCATTGTCAGTTTCTGGAGAGAAGAGAACTGTACAATTAAGGTCAGCTGTAGCTCAGCTCGTGGATTATTCAAAAGGCTGATCTTGGAGAAAGGACGATGAACACTTTCATGTATTTCAGAGCAGCCTTTCATCTTGTGACATGAGCATGCATCAGCACTCCTTCTACATAACTTGTTTCTGTTTGCAAGCCATGCAACCTGTTTTCCCTGCGGCAAACTTCCTATCATTTGAACCAGATCAGTGAGATTTCCACAAGCTGTATTTGATGATCCTTAAAGTTTGCTGGAGGTTATGAGAATCAAAGATCATGATGGCAAGAAGCCAACATACATATTTTAGGACTGCCCCCCCCCCCAACATAGTTCCCCTCTAGACCTATTGAGCTTTGGCCATTTATCTGGGCATTTCCTGGATGCATTCATGCAATTTCTTGGCAGCAATAAAGAAATAGATTGTCAGTGTCTTCTCTCTCAATGATTTTTTAAAACTTTCGTCCTACCATAAGCTCTAGTTCAATTCTGGGAATTGAAGTCTACAAGTCTTAAAATTGCCAAAGTGGAGGCCACTGCTCTAGTATTATCTTCAGGTTTCCCATCGATGAACCAACCAGGTTCTGGTAAGCTTTTCAAATGCAGCCAAGATGGATATGCACAAACACACCCATTAATATAGGGTCTACTTTATTGAATCCACTGATTAAATCCTTCAAAAAAATCAAGTATCCTTTGAGTTGAGTTGTACTTCTGATGATATTCTGGATAAGGTAGCATTATGGAAGCAGTTTGTCACTGCCTTCTTGTAAGCCCTTGCAGCAAAACAGTATTTTCAGAAGTATTACTGGGGAGCAGAAAAAAAATGAAAGAAAAGGATCTTAAGTCCTTAGCTGCTTGGTTGTTTTTCTGCTCTATTTCCTGATATCTCCTACATTTTGTAGACAGTGTCAAAAATGGTCTTTGATGACTTCAGATAGATTGAATATACTTTTCTTCCTACAATGACAGAAGAAAAACATCTCACCAAAAATTTTATCCTAAAATTTTTATAGGATGGGAAATATAAGAAACTTTGTAAGTTCAAATAAAGTCCTTGATTACTCAAGCATGTTTATGCTGTTTTCTCGCCAATTATAGTGTAGATTTTAATTGTAATACCTTCTTGGGTGTTTCTTCAATATCCTAATATAATCACCAATCCTGGGTTTTTCTGGAAACTTCCACCAAAGGGCCAACTAAATTTGACCCTGGCTAGCTTTCTGAGATTAATCAAAGTCAGTGCTACAGCCTAGTTAGGCATCTCATGGATACGTCTATGAAACTGGGCTAACTAAACTTCTTTTCCCCCCAACAATGTATTATTTTGAAGAGGCTTGTCATTATGAAAAGTTCTGTAGAAAACTGTTTTCCCTGCTTTCAGGTTTACAGTACTCAAAAGCAGAAAACTGTTANGCAGTGGAGTTGCCATGGTAATGGCTTCACAATACTCCATAAGGGAGCTCCCTCTGGTAAGGGGGAAAATCCATTAGAAATTACATTTGGTCCAGATATTTTCCCCTTATAAATAAATACACGGGCAACACTGGATTATTAACTAGTCTTTCAATAAAAACTATTTTAAAAAGGAAACTGGGGAGGAATACATTATAACTAGCAGTGTAAAGTCAGTAGAACAGGATCTAACGGTAGATTGCTACAGATTATAGTAGATAATTAAGGGTAATAATCTATTTAGCAAAATTAAGAATTAAAACAACCCTCTTTGTCATATACAACCCAAGAAGCACATTTTGAGAACACTTTACCCTGAAAAACAAGAAACATGCTGCAGTATATACAGAGACATCTAGTAAAGCCACAATTCAGCATCTAATGTGATGCTGTTATAAAGACAAAGGGAAAAAAATGATTCCACAAACCTCAAATTTGCTCACTCTGATAGAACTGTTGCTGAGTTATTTTGGAATGAATTGGTCTATAACAAAGACTCGGAGCAATGGATTAAATGATGATCCTTTGATCTGGGACTCTCAATCAAGGCTTTGACAATTCCATTACTGTTTCCTTACTGTCATATCTGGTCATATCATATCATTCTTGACTTATCAGTATCGAATATAGAATGACACTGATCAAGGAAGTCCCAGGCACCAGGTTGTTATTTCTAGTTTTGATGTCAGTTTGTTTTATATGCTTTGGCATTTCTATAGTTGGTGTGCATGGTTGACCAGCCAAAGTGAAGTGCAGAGTGTATTATCTAAACTGCATGGAAATGAGAAGCCACAGTCAAAGGTTCTCTTAGTTTCTAGTGATACTACTTAGAGTTTAGTTTAGCAATGTACTGGTAGTAGTTTCTAGGTAAAGGTTCCCCTCGCACATATGTGCTAGTCGCTCCTGACTCTAGGGGGTGGTGCTCATCTCTGTTTCAAAGCCGAAGAGCCAGCCCTGTCCAAAGATGTCTCCATGGTCATGTGGTCGGCATGACCAAAAGCCGAAGCCGCACGGAACACTGTTACCTTCCCACCAAAGGTGGTCCCTATTTTTCTACTTGCATTTTTACATCCTTTTGAACTGTTAGGTTGGCAGAAGCTGGGACAAGTAACCGGAGCTCACTCCGTTATGTGGTGCTAGGGATTTGAATTTTATTTGTGGGACTTATTTGCATTACCACATTTTGAAAAGGTCCACATAGCTCATTTTTTTGGTTTTTATATTCTATTGTGGAGCATTAAAACTATTGCATTGGCTTCTAGGAAACCCTAAACTGTTACTTCATTTTGGAAATCCAAGTACATTAGAAATATGCATCCATTTATCCATTTAGCAAAATATGGGACAGCATGAGAGAGAGAGCAAGAAGATGTAACATAAATGCAATAGGCTTTACTGTATTATCATGATGGTTATTTTATTGCTTGACTTGAAATGAAGAGTCGAGGCTGGGGTGAATACAAGATTGTGTTCCTCTATTCCATATGTATCATGTAAGTCAATTTAAGGTAATACAATATCATTTTTCTGCCATGTCTAGGGACTTGCAAATCAATGATGTGAGAGGAACATGCAGAATTCAGTCCTCCAAAATCTATTCCTCATGAACTCAGCATCTGCTATGTAAAATGGCCATCACTATCTACCTAATAGTAAAAATAACAGCAACCACCAACTGGTGGTCCGGGAGAAAATTTTGGTGGTCCGCAGAAAAATTATTTGCATTTTTATACTGCACTAAATCAAGGGTTTTCAAACTACAGGCCCTGGGCTGGATATGTGAAATGTACATTTGTGTTGCTGCGGAGAGTCTCCCCCTTCGGGGTCTTTTTGTGTGGATTGGAGGGGGGGGGGAGAAATTACAATCTGGGGCTTGCTTCAGCCTCCTGGTGCAGGGCTTTGGGCAAAGGCTGGAGGGAGGCATCTTTGGTGGCAAAGAGCTGGAGGGCCTTGTTCCAGTGGAACTGCATCATGGCCTAGAACTGGCTGACCATCTAAGCCTGCTGAACCCCTAGGTGCTGACACCTGGCCTTGCACTCCCGCAGGTCTTCCCTCTGCTTGGAAACCCTCTGCTCATAGTCCTCAGTGAGGTGCTTCTGCTGAGCCTCCTTCTTGGCCAGATCCTATTTGAACTGAGATGTTTTGCCAACTCTTTCTTGTGGTGGCTACTTAGCATCAACAACTGCTTCCTGTTGGGGCCCTAAGGAGCCTGGGTGGGCAAGTGAGGAGTGGCTGGGAGGGGAGGGGCAAGTAGAGGCTGGCAAGGTGACATGAGTGACATTGAGTGGGTCACGCCTACCCAGTCATATGACCACCTAGCCACGCCACCCAACCAGTCATTAGGCAGATCATATTAGTGGTCCACGGGATTTAAAATTATGAATTTAGTGGTCCCTGAGATCTGAAAGGTTGGTGACATCTGCCTTAGAGAAAACAATGCAATGCCGCCAATTATTGTTTCAAACATTTGACAAACAAGTGATCCTAACAAAAGCCTTCCTCTCTCTCTCTATCAGTCATTTTAGCAACATTGCATTTACTTCTCTAAATATGTTCTCCTTGAGAAGGAGCTGTTCCTTCCATCCTCAGATACCTCTACAATTGATCATTGGTGTTGCTGCTGCTGCTGCTGCTGCTGCTTTAGTTTCTTTTCTTTCTTGACAGTTTAACAGGTACAACTGTCCCTGATCTGATTGTCAGCACTCAACATCAGATGTGGCTCCTTTTCCAAACTGATAGTGTGAAGAATCTACTAGGGTTCAAAGCAACCTATGAAGGTAAATAAATTTCTGCATTGATTCCTTACTAGACAGACCCAACCCACAAATACTTTACCCAGAGATCTCTTGACAAGAAAAAAGATTTAGGTCTGTGTAATGATGAAGGACAATTACTAAATACATGTCAATACAAGTAGTTCTTGACTTACATTAACAATTGGGACTGGAACTTCCATTGCTTAAGCAAGCTGTGACTTTATGACCTTTTGGGTTGTTGAGTGAAGCATGGGCTCATTAACTGGCTTCCCCCATTGATTTTGCTTGTCAGAATCCAGCTGGGAGTCACAAATGGTGATCATGTGACCTTGGGACATTGCAACCATTATAACTATAGGCTAGTTGCCAAGGGCTCAAATTTTGATCATCTGACTGGAGAGATATTGCAACAATCATACATGTGTGGACCTGTCATAGGTCACTTTTTTCAGCAGTATCATTTTAGAATGGTCACTAAATGAATGGTTGTAAGACTAGGAGTATCTTTAAGAGAGATAGATTCATTGGAGTAGGTTAAATATATGCACCGTTTCTCCAATCTGATGCCCTCTAAATATGTTAGATTTCCTGTTCCTTTAGTCCCATGGCTAAAAGAATTAGTGGGGCTGAGAGCTGGAATCCAACACATCTGAAGATTGCAGCATCTTTTATCTTACACTAGTGGGTTCCATATTTCCCATGTTGCTTTGTGCTTTACTAGGCAAACATCTGGTGTGAGAATTAAGAGTGCAACCTATAGTACATGTAGCATCATAAAACAGAAGGAGGAAAAAGATGACAGGTGTCATCTTGGAAGAAAGGCAGAATATAATTGTAATTACTAAAGCTAAACTCCCCAATGTTATAAGGGCACATCTCACATGAGTAACTCAGTTTCCACAAAGCTGTGCCTATTCCAGAGGAATGCCAGTTTCTATTTATCATTGCAAGAAAATCACTTTCATGGATGGGTAGATGGTAAGAACGAGAAAAGAAAGTATATTGCTAGCAGGTGTCATGTATGAGGGGTGTTCAAAGGCACTTAAAAAATGAGGGTTTTGTTTTCATTGACTATAACTTTAAATATAACCAGAGTAGCTTTGGTGTTTGCTTCTGCTAATACTCCTTAGTAGAAAGAGAGACAAAGCAAAGCATAATAAAACTTACAAGTAGAGCAATTAGACACTGAAAGATAACATTAAGATGCCACATCTGCTGAAGACTAGAGAGAACAATGCAAGATCTGTTGGGGGATGTTTTATACAGGCTTGTTACAAAGAAATACAACTTTGTTTACCTCCCCCCCCTTTTAATTATGAAATTTCACTTCCCAGAATTTGTCAACTAATTGAGGTTCTGGAGACATGAAAGAGTGATCATTAAATTTCTGCAATCATATATATTTATCAACATAAGATCTTAACCGAGGAATATGCCTATACAAAATCCTTTTAACCGAAAAGGACAGAAATTTAAGTTAGCACTTCCCTGAAAAATTTGCATTTGACCACTAAATTATATCTCTTCTGTAATTAATGCCATTTAAACATAGCTGAAGGGACGCGGTGGCTCAGTGGCTAAGGCGCTGAGCTTGTTGATCAAGAAAGGTTGGTAGTTCAGCAGTTTGAATCAGTAGTGCCATGTAACGGAGTGAGCTCCCGTTACTTGTCTGCCAACCTAGCGGTTCGAAAGTATGTAAAAATGCAAGTAGAAAAATAGAAACCACCTTTGGTGGGAAGGGAACAGCGTTCCGTGCACCTTTAGCGTTTAGTCATGCCGGCCAAATGACCACGGAGACGTCTTCAGACAGTGCTGGCTTTTTAGCTTTGAAACGGAGATGAGCACTGCCCCCTAGAGTCAGGAACAACTAGCACATATGTGTGAGGGGAACCTTTATCTTTAAACATAGCTGTTTGTCTCCCAGAAAAATTGTAGGTGTCCTTTAAAAAAACATTCTTTCAGTTCAAAGCCTAATTAATTCCATTCAGGGCTATGCAATTTGTTATTAAACCTGTCTACCTTTACTGTTCTTTAGCAGTATAATATACTAATCCTCCATTTTTCTATGGGTTTAAAACAAATATAGAAAATGTTATCACCAAACATTGACCCTTCCAACAAATTAAAGTTTATTAATAATCTTAATCTACTGTGTTTTTAATTGAATTGCCCAATAATTTTTTCTAATGCATCTTGATTTCATTTTCGAAACACAGATTGTGACAGGGATGAAAACTTTTAAAATGTTAATTTCCATGATGCAAATTCCCTTTTTAAAAAAATGTAACTACCACTGTTCCCATATAATTTTTAGAAAGAGACATCCCCATTTGTTTTGCCTTCAAAATTCAGAATGCTATGCAGTCATTCCATCTGGATTCTTGAGAAACATACTGTATGGCTTAAAATCCTAAACTACTTCAGGACTTTCATTTTGCTTCACATACTGTCAGAGTTCCAAATAGTATCCTCCATCAAATAAGAATCTGAGGCTAGAGATTCCTCAAAATTCAAATTTATTAAAGAAGCCATGCTGGTACATCTGGGAAAACCCGAATATGAAAGCTTCCAGGTTTTCCCCACGCAGTTGAAAGTTCAAGATCCTGCCCCAGCACCCACATGTCCATCACATGGCCCAATCAGCCACTGTCACGAAGGAAGATTCCTCCCACTCACATCAGTCCAGATGCAGGGACAAGATGACCTTGACTCTCTGAGAAGGAATGTTGTTATAGCTACATATCTCCCATGTTCCATACAATCCCCCGCTCCCAATTTCCCACAATAGAATATGTTTGAATATGTGGCAGGCTTGAGGCCCAACACAAAGATGGCTTCCAAGCTTGACGCATACATTTGCTCACATAAAGTAAGGTTGTTGATGAATATGTCTCCTCGTCACAAGAGACCATCCAGACAGAAACCCAATATTTTTTACTGTTGGGGAATCAAATTTAAAGCATTGTGTAACTATTATATTAACATTGAAATTAAAACAGTTCTATAATTTGCTATGTATTAGACCAGCAGAGTAGTATAGTATCACAAAAGGAGAGGGAATTGCTCATCTTAAAAATGAAGTAAGAAATATTATGTCCATAAAACAAAGATGCTCTCAGATAGGAGAAGGGATTTCATTCACCATTGTTGAGGTAACTGTATATTTCTCTCTCTTGGGGGGAAAAGGGATGGGCAGTTCTTCATTACACCCAGGAAAGACTGAAAGCTTGAAGATTAAGAGTTTAAAAAAAAAGATGTCTTCCTTCAAATTAAGGTTGAATCTTGGTGATGTCCTCAACATATCCATTGTATGTTTGCAGTAGCATTTTTATTTTTGGATGGAGGGACTTCCTAATGAAGTTTTCAACCCTGGGCCCCACACTGAAGCATTGTCAGTTTTTGGTGGGCCCTCACTCAAATGTTGTCAATTTCCAGGGAGAGAACAATTAGCAGACTCAACCAGTGGTGGGATTCAAATAATTTAACATCCAGTTCTCTGTCCTAATGACCAGCTTGGTAGGCGTGGCTCGGTGGTCATGTGACCATGTGGGTGTGACCAATTCAATGTCACTCATGTTGATAGGCACTTCGCCTTTGCTGTTACAATGTAATAAGGGTTAACTGGAGAGGCAGTTTCTATAAGCA